TCTAGGACCCTAGACCCCAAACCCTAAACCCTAAAGGATCAGGGCCCCTATATTAAGCCAGAACGACAAGGCTGGACTCGATGCTGCTGGCCCTGGCACTGGGGTTCGGCGCGCTGCGACGCTTCCAGCCTAGCCACGGGCTCAGATGGCTGGAGGGTTTGGGGCTTTAACGGATTATATGGAGCCCTAAACCCTAAACCCTAAGAAGGGGGGGGGTTTCGGGCTTTATCACGGGTTTAGGGTTTAGGGCCCTCAAGCCAAATCATGAACCCTGGACCTTCCAAACCATGAGAGCCGTAGCACCCTCGTAGGACCCGGTACGGGAACACGTTCTCCCTGCGACCAGGACCTGTCCTAAAAATCAACAACGTCATTACCCAAGCTTTTGTGCATAGCGCTGCCAGTTTTTTGGTGGGCACCCCCCAACCCTAAACCCTAAACCCCAAACCCGAAACCCCAAAACCCTAAACCCTAAAGCCCTAAACCCTAAACCCCAAACCCTGAACCCAGAAGGGACCAGTTTGCAGCTTTGAGTTGCTAGGGCCAAAGCACGCCTGATTGCAGGCCCGCCTGCATCCCAGCCGCGGAAGACGTCTGGCGAGGAGCGAACCACCACACTGGTGTGGCTCAGCGCAGATGTGGTCTTGGGGCAATCAGTGATAACTCATGTTTATAGTAGTATCCCCCGGTACATGAATAGTGCAAGATACCCCAGGCCTGATCCAATTTTTTAAGGGCCCTATGATTCAGAAGTTGGAGTGAGGAGCTGGATGGAGCGGGGGTTCAGAAAAGTACGGCTCGCTTTTTAGAGGTTCCTACTGTGTGGAACTCCATAAGGGGGATCTATTATCCGTGCCCTTATCACGGAGTGCAAGGACGGGCCCTCCCGCACTGAGCAAGAAGAAAGACATCTGTGTTGGCATGATTAAAAGGATGACCGGACTTTCTTTTTTATGACGGTTATCAAATACGGTAACTAAATTCAAACTTAAGGCCCTAATTCACGTACGTATAAACTTACTTATCAACTATGCCCTAAACCCTAAAGCCTAAACCCAACACCCGAAACCCGAAACCCTAAACCCTAAACCCTAAAATCTAAGCCCTAACCTCTAAACCCTAAACCCAAAATCCAAAACCCTAAACCCTAAACCCTAAACCCTAAACCCTAAACCCTTAGCTTTAAAACCCTAAACCCTAAACCCGTGGTCCTCCATTTACTCCGCCACACGCAGCGAAGCGAGGCTCAACAGCGCCGGGCACCTTCGTGCCCTCTGCAGCTCGGCAGGGTGTCGTTGCAGGGTTTAAGGCTTAAGGAATAGGGTTTAATGTTTAGGGTTTAGGGTTTAATGTTTAAGGTTTAGGGTTTAGGGTTTAGGGTCCAGGGTGTGAGGTTTAGGGTTAGGGTTTAAGGCCGAGAGTTTAGGGTTTAGGGTCTACGGTTTAGGGATTCTCACTATCAAGTACCAACTTACCGCAAATCCTAAACCCTGAACCAACCCCAAACCAACAGTGGTGGTTCGTATGAGCGTCATGGTTGAACCCGTTAACATGCTGCCAACCGTAACACTAAATCTGAGTCTGAAGCAGCAGCACCAAAAGCATATGGGCCTGACTACCCCTTAAAGTCCTTTTTTGTGACTACAGTATACTACCTTTAGTAATCATTACGACCCCCTCTATTGCGCCGGCCAAACCCTCCACCCTTACAGCCCTGAGTAGCAGATCCGGAATCCTAAACCCCACTGTAACCCACACCTACCCTCAACCCTAAACTGGCCCTAAACTCCCCTAAACCAGCAACCCCCCCCGTACAAAACCATGTATATAACGTTTAAAACCATGTGTAAAGCCGTGTAGAACCCATGATACAGCCTCCAACCCAAACCGCAAACCGTAAACCCCTAACCCCTAAACCTTTGCCCCAGAACCCAAAACCCTAAAATCTCAAGCAACCATGGTACTCCCTCAGCGAAGCCGTCAGCCCAAGGTACCTTAGTCAAGAACTTCGACCTGGTTTTCCCTCCGCAGCAGGGGCATCTGGCCTCCACGCCGGAATCGATGTCAGGCGCGACGTCTTTTTCTAGTTTTTTAAATCTAAATCAAGGTAGTGATTCCAACAACAGTAGCAATAACAACGGACACAGCAACAGCAACAGCAACCGCAACGACGACGGCCACGACAACGACAAGACCAAATAAATACTGATATGAGATTGCGGGGTTCAGTGAGTAGGGAGTCGTGCACGACGAGTTTTTTGCAGGTTTAGGGTTTAGGGCTTAGNNTTAGGGTGGACATAACATACGGGTGGAGGATTCGAGGATGTGGTTTTGGGTTCGGGTTAAATTCCACCCGAATCTCACAGACGGCGCCCTCGAGCTTCATGGCTTTAAGTTTTGAGCCTGGGGTTACGCGTTTAGGGGTTAGGGGTTTAGGGTNNGGGTTTTTAGGGTTTCTAGGGTTAAGGGTAAAGGTTAAGGCTTTTCTTACCTAGAAGCCCACGTCCGGATTTCTGAAACCTCAAACACTGCAGGAGACATGCAAAGAGAACTGCTCTAATTCGGGTAACAGGGAATACCTAGGCAAAACAGCCAAAGGGGTACTGAGCATCAAGCTCGTGATGTTTGCAAACGCTCGCAAGATGCCCCCCC